GTCTTTCTCTGCACATAGTGCATACGTAGCTTTGCTACAGTAGTCTGACTACTTCTTCTGCACATAGTGCATAAGTGGCGTAGCTACAGTAGTTCGGCTACACCTGGTAGCATTTGTAGTCAATTTTGCACTTGGGCTTGCGACTACTTCTCTGTGTGAGAATGGAGATCGACGAGATGTCATCGGTTGGCCTGTCACAGGCACAACAGGAAGGGTTGCAGAAGCTGCTCCCTATCCTTGTCCCTAAGGGCGTGGAGTACCTCATCGCCCAGGGCGAATAAGAGGTTTACAAGCGTATTCATATGCTTGATGATATATAAAAAAGCTCTAGTCGAGCATGTAAAGGCGCAGATGCCTTCTTCTGCGCCTTCGCCCATGGCGACTATGGCACAAGAAGTGGTACGCAGACCAAAACCCATACAAATGGAAGTCGATAAGTTCGACGGTAAAGAAGGTGACAACCTTATGCTTTGGTTCCGACAGGTTAGTCGGCTATGTTTATGGCCGACATCACCTATGAACCGTGCCGTGTGGGCTTTGCCACGGGCAAGTTATGTGGCTTAGCCAAACAGTGGACATTCACATGTGGTACATCATTGCAAGATGCATTTCCCACATGGACCGATCTGAAAGTTCAGATGATCCGGCAGTATGCACCGCCAAACCAAGCACACCGTAACCGGTCGCGGTTTTTGGCGTGTCGCCAAGTCAAGCATGAGCTTGCGGCATATGTGCAAGAGTTGAGAACTCTCATTGCTGCCATGGTCATAGACCCTATGCCTGAGGCAGTGACTGTCACGGTCTTTATGGAGGTTCTCCGAGTTGGCGTTGCCAGAACAGAAGTCTTCCGGGTAAACCCGTCCTCATTCGAGGAAGCTGTTGGAGTGGCATGGAATCCCGAGACCAACTTTAAGGCTGCTAGGCCTGACACTTATAACTACTCGTCTGATGAGTCTGTACCCATGGAATGTAGTCAAGTGGAGGATGAAGAAGCTGAGCTTCAAGCTGCGGAGCAGCAAATTGTGCGCAGATGTTATATCTGCAAGAGCACAGGCCATTTGATGGCAAAATGTCCTGCAAGAAAGGCATATTTGGCCTCGAAGGGCCGACGCCACATGGGTAAACCTTCTGGTTTGCCGCGGAGAAACGGCGGAGCCCAGTAGACGCGGGGCGCCCTACTGCGGAAGAACTGAGTTCTGTTGAACCTCTAGGAGGTAGAAGTAAGCAGGGCCCAGCCCCAAAGAGACCCGAACTCTCAAAAAACGGAACGAGAATGCAAGCTAGGCTTGTTAGTCGGCGAAGGGACGATTAAGGGCTATGATAAGCCATGGATCATTTTTATCGATTCGGGGGCATTGGGCAATTTTGGGGGCCGTGCCACCATGGAAGGTAATCAGTAGTATGCTGAAGCGTTTAGAGCGCGTGAAAGTGACACAGTCACAGTTCGCTTAGCGACGGGTACGCGTGTTACGGTACCCAAAGTCCCGATGGACTAAAATGTAAAGTTCTTGGACTTTAACAGCATGCAGCGCTGTTTGGTCTTAGACCTGGATGCGAGGTATGACCTCATCCTAGGCATGGCATGGCTAGAACGTCATGCATGAGCCATGGATTGATTGGAGGCCGAAGACATTAGGCGCAACGCGCAATCCTAGTGGTGATCTGGAGAGTCATGAACCCACCTCTGCTAGGAAGCAAAAGCGCTTTTGGCGCGGATATTGGACCGAGCCAGTCAATATGTTGGATGTCGGAATATCCGACTTTGTAGACACTGTAAGTGTTGAGGACAATAGTCCTGGGCGAGGCCCAATGACTGTCGATAGTGTGTTTGAGAACCCACTAGATGTCACATAGGACACGTGTCATGAGAATGATGTTACATCATTAAACACCGTGAGTGGTGTTGGTGGCTGCAAGCCAAGATGTCAGGATATGAGTTCAAGTAACATGAGTGACGAGGAACTGACCCTGGAAGGCCACGCGAAGTCACAATGGATGTTGGCTTTGAGGACAACGAGGTGCATGCACCTAACAACGAGGTACTGGCCCAAGAGAGTCGGGTGAAGTCGTAGATGGATGTTATCCTTATGGGCACCGAGGTAACGACGAGGCACTGGCCCATGAGGGTCGAGTGAAGTCATCACTGAATGTTGTCTTTGAGGACAACGAGGTGCATGCACCTAACGACGAGCTACTGGACCAAGAGGGTCGGGTGAACTCATCAATGAATGTTATCCTTATGGGTAACGAGGTGCATGCATCTAACGACGAGATACTGACCCTAGAGGGTGGGACAATACAATAGTAGGCCCTCTTCACTTATCTCGTAGTCCCTTGACAGCACGAGTGAGCGGTCTCCATAGATAGGTCGATCCAATCTCCTTTTTAGTAGGCCTTCAAATCTCGCCCCTTTCTCTCGGGCCTCCCCGATTCAATCCGCCCGGAGCGGGTCTGCCTCAAGAGACCAGGGTCAAGGGCCCACAGAAGAAGGACTGAGATCTACCTTGAAGGACTAAGGACCACCTTGAAGGACCAAGGACCACCTTAATGAACCGAGGTCCACCTTGAAGGGCCAACGCTTGCCAATGTGACACCGCGGATCACTCCTTTCAATGCCGATTAAGTGAACCCTCGACAGCGGACTTTGAACGCAAATTCATCCCATCCAACGGTCTTTTCCCCTTTCTGGATCCCTTTCTCTTTGGTCCGTCATCCAACGGTCGCTTTACTTCTGTGTACACCTTTCTTTTGACAACTAGTCCTTTGGCTCCCGCATTTTTTGAAGCGCTTCACCACAGCCGCCATCTGCACTTGATCAACCGACAGTCTCTTGAGCACGCGCATGTCTTCAACTCATCCGTCACGTAGGTGCTTCCATCTTGTTTCTCGTTTGATACCTCTTGCCTAGCGTTGTATGATTCTGTCGATGGCCCCGGGTCGTGTTGCCGACCCAGCGGCCCTGGTCTCCACCTATCCTCCGATCAACCCTTCTCACGAATTGCCGGGGCCAGAGCCGTCAACGACGGTTTCATCTGAGGCTGTACATGACAAAAGTCCACCGGCCGACTCTTCTTTCAGCTCGCCTGTACCATAACGGTTGCTGACGGTCTTAAATGAAGATGACTGCGACGGAGATCCACCGGTCGTCGATGACCCTCTGCCCACACCGAGCTCACCTGACGTTGCCGACATCCTGAGTCTACTGTACCGGCTGAAACTTTATCGAACCGCCGCTGTTCAGTGGAGATCGGCAATACATGGGTGAATTCCCACAAGGCTTGCAAGTAGTGTATAAGGAACTCATCCCACCGCGAACAGCTCCTCAACCCACCCAGATTTCCGAAACGAGATCGGCGCGATCGGCTTGTCATGGCTATAAAGCGCGGTGATCTTGCCCAAGTCGGCAGATGTGGTGTCCACTCGGATTCAAGGGGCGATCGAAGTACACCAATTTGTATTGGAAAAAAATATATCCGTGGGATATCGAGAAGTGTAGATTAAAGAGAATAAAAATCTAGCTCTGCGAGGCTGATCAAGATAACCCGCCTAGCTGGCCACGGGACTACATCAGCAAAGGATCGTGGAACTCGATCGTGGTACCCAGTGATCCACCGATCAGGGAGAAAAACGTCGTTCACGATATCGTGGGTGCAGCTGGAGACGCTGACAGGACCGTCCGAGTCACTGGAAGCCTCTCCGAAGAGATCGACCCTGGATACCTTTGGACGAACGATCCGGGATGATGGAAGTGAAAACGTAGAAAAACGATCGAAGTGAACGATCCAAGAGCAAGTGTAACTACGGTCCCACGTCTCGACGACAAAGGTGATCAGGGCAATGCTGCAAGGGTTGGTTCATCCATTACGTCAGAAGAATCGCTGTTCTTCGATCGGGAGGAGGGTGATGACCCTGCTCGTTGTAGGTTCTTTTCCACTCGATTGGGTCTGCTTTGAGCTGCAGATGAAGTCTGAGGTCTTGCCTTCTTGCTCAAACGACCTTGATCACTCAAATTTTTGGGCGATCACTAGAGCTTGGGAAGGTGGATCGCTGGAATTGGGGGGACCAGACCCGATGAGACGGGAGTCGACTGATCGAAAGTCCGCTTTATTTTGGTTTTTTAAAATATTTGTAAACGAGAAGCTGAAGAGAGGAAGGCTGCAAACGGAACGACGCCAGATTCGTCACCTGATCACGGAGTACATCGTGATCGTGAATTGAGTCATTCCGCTATGCCTCTCTACGAATAACCTGGATCTGCAAGCAGCTGACGCTAGTGTCTCGATCCGCGACGTGAAGCAGCCGATCACATCTGGCCTAAAATCGGTTATTTGGCCTGCGACTTTTTGATCTTGCGCTTGGAATGGGAGCATTCGTTTTTGTACTTAGATGCCTTCGACACGCGATCTTCGAGATCAGACAGTTGGCGTTGAAAAGTTTTTTTTCGATCCACGCGACGGGCAGTATTGGCCAGATCGAAAGCGGATCGCAATCTTTGGACTTCTTCAAGTTTATTGAGCCGATCACCAAATTTCTTTGGAATCTGATCGACGCTTGGGTAGCTTCGTGCAGTTGACACTGAGGTATGTAATATCTCGGCTGTAAACATATTGTACGAACGGAGACGCCGATCTTAGCAGGTACGCGATCACTTTTTCCAGACGATCGCCTCTTGTTAATTGAGATCGTAAGGTATTTTCAAGCTTTAAATAAATATCCACCAGTTCCTGCTGAGTTGCCAAACGTACAAACAGATAATTCAACAATGTGTCCGACGTTTCTCGGTCCACCGTAGGGTAGAAGACTCGCCCACTCGGAAGCAGCGACGGAAGATCACTTGCAACCACGGATCGTGATCGTGCGGCCGTATAGTGCACATAGAGGGATGATACCGTATTTCTACCAAAGGAGATCGTGTCAGAAGATTATGAAAAGGACCGAAGAAGGCGACCAGTGAAAACAGATATCTCCAGACTGGGCGCCGGACCAGACCGAGTAAATCCTGCGATCAGTCCAGATCCTAAATGGATCACGACTGAGGAAGTCATTTGACTTGAAGAGAAAGACAAAGACAAAAAAAAAGATAGGCAGAGGTCGCAGGATTCAAGCCGAGTCGATACTTGCTCTGAGCTCTGTATTGTGTGGATCCTCAGAATCGGATATCGAGCCAGTTTCGGAGAAAAAGCTACCACTGCGGTTCCTAGCTAAGAGGTCCTGGGGCGTCGAGCGATGGAATATCTTGGTCCTTAAGTGTCACTGGCCGGGTAGAAATCTCACCCAAAGGATTTGGAATTACTTTTAAATATCACATTTTTTAGAACGTTGCGATCAATGCAATCGTTTCTGGGGAGTTTGAATTACTACAGTCGCTTCATGAAGACTTTGAGATTCATGCATCAGTCCTAAATGAACTGAAAGAGGCAGATTTCCATAAATTTACTCTCACTGATCGAGTAGATCCAATTTTACTTGGTACTGAGGACAATCGCGATCCAGATCAAGATGTATATATCTGCGATTCGGTTCAAGATGGATACATCCGCGATCCGGAACTTAATGGATACATCCGAGATTCGGACTCTAAGACAGGAAACGATCGTGATCCTAAAGGCAGAAATCGTTGGGAGAAGGCCACAATCATGTTCATTATGTTGAAGGCCAAGATTGCTACTACCCGATCCTTAAACATTTTGATCTGGATCGAACTCCAGTGATCGTGGTATATGCCTGCAATGGGCGGTATCGGCATCCCTACTTCAGGAACATGAAAGGGTGTATTGGCCAATACTTTTTACAAGCCGTACGTCAAAACCCATTTGAGTTAATTAGGGAGGGTGGAGAAAGAAGTTTTGGCTCTCCTTTGAATGTTGTATATTTGATATAACATGTTAGTATCACGAGCGATCAAGGTGCTCACGCGATATTCTACGTGGGAAGAAGACTTGGATGCACGGGTAATTTGACAATGGATGTCGAGCAACAGCGCAGGGGACGATTGTTAGAGAAGTGAAGGTTGTGGGAACGGTTTTTCTACGGGGTGATCGGGCAATCCAATGATTGTGGTATGTCTGAGTCATACGGGATTGGTCAATAAAGCGATCGTACGGTGTGGACTACACTGATGAAAGTACGCTTGGTAGTTTGATGCAAAATGCAAAGTAAATATATTAAGGTCCTTAGTTGACAAACTCTTTTGTTACTCTAAGCCTTCTTTCAATCATCAATCAATCTATTAGTCAATCACCAATCATTCAATCAAGCATCAATAGTCAATAAGTCAATTAATCAATCAGTCAATCATGTCGACGAGACGTGTTGACAACATACACAATACAGATCGCGATCGTGCCCAGCCGATCAAGCCGTCTACGGATTGAAGAGCATGGTGTAGATCACACACCTCGGATCGCGATCGCCAATCGAATTGTTAGCGGATCGGATCGCGTGATGTGAGTTATCTAATTTGGGTCGCGATTGCAGATCGAGCCTTTATCGGATCGGATTGCGTGGCGTGAACCACACACCCCGGATCAGAGTCAAGATTGAAGAGACGCGTAGCGTTGATCCTGTCATACATGTAGGCAAGATGATAGTTTTTGGAATTATTGGACAGGGTAGTATTGAATTTGCTAGGTTAGCCATAGATAGTGTTTGTACCTTAGGCTAGTAATTGATGTAGGTATTGGTTAGTGACTAATACATAGGTAACTCTGATTTTACACGTGTTCCTATTTCCTCTAAATTGGATTGTTGGTCATACAATGAATAAAGTGAGGTCACATACGTTCAGTAGATCACCCCTGGAAGGATTTGGCTAGGGGTTCAAGTATACTCAAATCAAGTCAGCTGCGATCGGACGCAGCGTTCAAGCAAGAGACCTCTGGGAGACGGCTCAAGTTGTCAGAAGATCTACTTAGACGGCTCAAAAGGACAATAATAAAAGTAAAAGGAAGATTTAGAGTGGATTAAGGCAGCTCTTAGCGTCAGTGCTTACTATGATTGCGTGAAGTATATCCACGCGATCCACCCCCCTTCGACACAAACCCCATTACGATCAAGACCGGAGCAAGTCCATCAAGGAGATTGAGACCCGACCAGTCGACATGTCGATGCGGATGGGTCCATCCGTTATACATACAAATTCCCCGATTCCAGCACATTCCTGTCGTTCACTTTCGTCAATCTGGCAGCCTAACTTACGAGCAAACGCGATATAAGATGGATATCTCGGCGCCAGTACCAAACAACAAGTTTGAGCGATCATTAATGATCTTTCCAGAGGTCTTATCTTGTCTGAACCACTAGTATGGGCATGATATTTCCAAAACTCCCTTGATTCGCCCGGCAGTAGGTCCAACTTCATCACTACATTTTCCCGTGCAAATCATTGGGTGCATTTGTGATGGAGCGGTGAACACAAAAAACTCTCTGTGATCCCGACATTCCACTGCGCCCGAACTGTCGAATGAAGGAGGGGGTACTCCAATTCCGTGTGCTAGTCCTCCCTCACCTTGTGAAGCTCAGCCTGAATGGAAAATTGGTGTATATATTTAAGGTGTGGGAGGCCGATGGTGAGTCAAGACGTAATTTTGGGCGTGGATTTAATGGTACCAGTCGGTATTTGGTTAGACCTGGCGGATGGAACACTATGTCTTTCCGATGAAGTCCGGGTTCAATTATCAGGACGTAGGACGCTTTTACGATAACCGGGTATTAGATGTTAGTTGGGACGATATGCCCAGATACCGGTTGGAGGGTACGTGGAAGTATCTCTGAAAAAGTCGACCTCGGACCAATGAAAACTGGGGTCACAAGAGGAGAAAGGTGGATCGCGACCATGAACCAAGGGGTAGGAGGTCGGAAGTTCCTGAAGGGAACTAATGTCAGTGCCAATCTCTGATATTGCACTAAGACACCAAGATCGGTATGTGGTTGATAAAGGACCAAGTGCCAAGAGCGCAAGGCATTGTCTCGTTGGAATGTCAAAGATTCACTGAGTGTCTGAATCCGGCGTATGAATTAACGACTGACCAGGTCGACTGTCAGGTGGACTTGACGGAGGAGGATTAAATGTCATTGGCGGATACACCACAGTACGATATTCCATCCGGCATACTACAGCGGCCAAGGGTACCGTTCCAGTAATGACCATGTCATTTCAGCCTAGGACCGACCAGGTAGATCATCATCCAGACGGAGGAGGTTGAAGGGCCGCTGGTGGAAACACCGCAAGCGGATGACCAAGTGGGTACGTTTGAAAGTAGGGATCTCTGGGCCGAAGATGCAAACCAAGGGTGGGCGATCATACCGAAAGTGGACCTTTCACCCAGTTCAAAGACGTACAGATTCCTGACCCAGACGGGAACACCCCCGAAGACGTAGACCGAATGCGACAGATCATATGGAGAAGACGACATCTCTTGCTGGGGAAGGTAACGCCTTACCACCGGCCGTTCAAGGAGCTATCTGTGACATTGATGTAGGCAATGCATGGCCAATTGCACAGAGTGTACGGAAGGTGGCCAGAGAGAAGTTGGCGACCTGATCAAGGGACTGTTATCCGCGAAGATCATCCAACTCTCTACTTCGCCATAAGCCAGACCAATCGTGATTATTGTGAAGAAGAATGAAGGGATATTAGGCTGTGTCTCTACTACCAGTTGGTGAATGACTTCACCCAGCTTATGGTCTACCCTATCGTCGAAACGCATATATGTTTCCTCGAGTTGGGCGAACTAGCCCACCGGCTGGAACGACACAGGTGAAATCGAGGTTCGTGCCGACAAGCATGGTCTGGTAGCCAACAGGCTGTTGATCATATCGATGTTGATCATCGAAGATTTCTACTTGGAAGGCCAATCGACCTTCTCGTTCGGTGGAACAACCCAGCCCCAAGGCTGCTCTATGTGGTCGGCCAAGTCACTAGGGGTCATCGTCGCGATACTACAAGAGTTGACTAGGTTGACAGACGAAGGTGCCACTTCCACGGCATAGAAGGACTTCATTTGCATAATGCTAGGGATAATATCACCCCTGGGGAGCACGGGTGACCGACCCACCTGGGGTGCGGTCTTTCTCCGACTGATCGATAAATTCCACTGATCGCACGCTTCCACTAATTTCTCCATTTTTTTGTAAGGAGAAGTACACGTGGTGGAAAGGATCAATATATCATCGAAATAAGATCGTCGACCTAAAAACTGATTGCTTTCAATCCGTATCCGGTTTGCCTTCAGCAAACACGTCGATCAGCTTTGTCCATACAGTATTGGCTGTATCGGGATGGGTGCCAATCTTGAGAAAATTATACAGGGCGTTGTCGATCAGACGTTGGTAGATCTGCGGTGCATCCTTCAGCCCAAAAGGCTTGAGTAACCACTCAAACAACCCGGATAACGTAATGAACGCCAAGATCATCCGTGAACGTTCTGTCATTTCCACAACCCAGAATACACTTGCCATATCTAGAGAACAATACCGCATCGCCTTATCCATATTTCAAAGGAGTTCACTGAGCAATGGCATAAAAATACCATTAGTTTAGTGAGATTATTCACCCGTCAATAATCGATACACAGTCTGATATCCACGCTACTCTTCTTGATAATCACCACGATCGGCGATGACCAGGTGATGTCGATGGTCGTATAATCTTGGCCGATAATCATCCCTTGATCAAATCTGCAAATTTTTCACGAAACTTAGGTGCCACCGATCGTACTCGTTGCGCGATATGGCCTGCTCTACCAACGTCAATATCGCAAACGGCTCCACGTGCAGCCGGAGGTAATGCGTTTCATTCTCCCATTGAAAGGTGACGGCTCCTCCAGATCATCTGGCGTAGCTGTTCTTGATCCGTTGTAAAAAGTACATATGGATCACCCACTTGAATATCATCGTCACTTCCACTGCTCGGCTTACGATCTCTGGCAAGACTGCCATATTTTGATCCACATCTTCAGCATATGATTCTCCAGATTCGTGATAATAGACAAATTTCTCAGGAAGATCTTCATTATTTCTTCAGTTTGGCATAACTTTAGTGGCGATCACTGGTGAAGGATCGATTGCGGAGTACTTGAGGTCTGGATCGTCGAATCGGATTGGTCAGATGCTCTGTATGCACCAACAACTTTTTCGATCGACTGGATCAGCGAATCCAAGCGATCAGATGCCCGATCCGCACCAATACCTTTCGCGATCGGCTGGATCGTCGAATCCAATCGATCAGGTGCTTAATCTGCACCAATACCTTCCGTGATCGAGTGGATCGCGATAGGTAATACTGGCGATCGTAATTCCTCTCGTTCTTCACCCAAATTTTCTTTAACTGATCTGCAACTTCACCCTCCACACCGCTTGCATTTGACCGCGACGTGATCCGTGCCAATCCAACAACTTTCTCTTCCGTGTCGCTTCTCAATCGACTTAAGATCTTCGTTAGGGTAGGGTATTGAGAACGGTCCAGTCGGTCTCTCTGCTATTAATTCTGTTGTGTCGACAGTCGCTTCTTACGCTAGATTCTGCACTCATTATAGCGACGCGATCCCACAGAAACATAACCTGGCGATCTAGATACCATATTGATAGACATCTATAGACCTAGTGGCGATCCATTCTATAAGATCAATTCTCAATCACTCAGGTTTGTCACCTGCAGATGTTTGAATCTGCCAGGCGCTTAGAAGATTCAATCCTGTCACATATGTTTGAATAAGTGATTGCTGGAAAAGATCACAACAAGAATTCGGTTGATTGAGTGAAGGTTTCCACACGATTGCCAACAACCCCAACCAGATCCACATCCGACCTAAGGCCACCAGGAAAGTACAACTCGCCCTACACAAGGTGAGCAAGTTACATCCCCTACAGAATCGGAGTACTCTCCATTAGTTGGCAGTATGGGGTTGTTGGTAAGTGCCGATCACTTCAGCGATTTGAAGATCGCCACTCCACCACATTCCCATAATTGCTTCTCCACACTGGCTCAATAGGCAGCTTCACTGTCATCATGTCCAAAGATGTCACGGCGCATCATTTTATCTATGATGAGACGGCGCATCTGCTTTGTGAGCAGGGCTGGAAGCGTATAACACTTTGTCGGTATTAAAGTGCAAAGTTCAAAGACTGTAAGTCCTCAAGGATCAAGTGTTTAGAACACTGAGAGGTTTTATAGGCAAGTACTAGGCACTTAATGCTTAAGAAGCAAATAGTTTAGCCTACTCACAGAATTTATAAGCAAGTGTTTAGAATACTTAACGGTTTTAAAAGCAAGTACTAGGCACTAAATGCTCCAGCACTAAGAAGATTTAGGAGCAAGTACTAAACCTTTCAAATGCTTGAAAAGCAAAGTGACGTTGGCACTTCACTTTGTCACATCATTTTGGTGTAGCTGTACATAAGGAGATGAGGTTTTTATGCTGGAAAGGGGGAAGGAGGAATGAAGATCTTTGGTCTATTTTGAAATTTCGAGACACTTGATTTCTAGCTCACAAACCCCAATTTCTAGCTCGTGTGTGTGTTTTTCCTTACCGAAATGAAGTCCTTCCCTACAGTTTCTCTACTACCCAAAGAAGAGACTCTAGTTGATCATTTTCTTGATACATACCCTCACTACGATGGTCGTAATACTATTGTAGCGATTTTTGATACAGGTGTCGATCCTGGTGCGATTGGATTACAAACGACACCAGATGGACGTCCTAAAGTTATTGATATTATTGATGCAACAGGTGCTGGTGATATAAATACATCGACTATACTGGAAGCAAAAGACGGTCAATTAACACTAGCTACTGGTCGTGTTTTGAAACTAAATACAAAGTGGAAACCAAGTCGTGATGGAAAGTATCACGTTGGATCAGTCGTTGGATTTCATATTTTTCCTCATTCCTTGGTCACAAGATTGAAAAAAGAACGAAAAGAAAAATTTGAGATTCAACAACGAAGTGCAGTCAATGAGATACAAAAGGAACTACTTCAATGGAAAGAAAGACAAGGAAAAAAGGAAGATAAAGAAGGAGAAGGGGATTCGAATTCTTGTGTCTCCACTAATGAGTCAGCTAAGAAGGTGCTGAGAATGAAAAAAAACGATCTGGAAACGAGACTGACACAATTACAAGAATTGAATAACTCTTATGACGATCCAGGACCAATTTATGATGTTATTGTGTTTCATGATGGGGAGTCCTGGCGTGCAGCTTTAGATACGAAAGAAACGGGAGATTTTACCGATATTCCATCATTGACAAATTTCAAAGATGAACGACAATATGCTACATTCTCTCACGAATCGCAGCTTAATTTTGTGCTAAATATTTACAATAAGGGAAATGTTTTAAGTGTTGTAAATGATGTTGGAGCTCATGGAACGCATGTGGCTGGAATTGTGGCAGCATATTATCCGGGCCAACCAGAATGCAATGGAATTGCTCCTGGTGCACAAATTGTTGCGGTGAAAATTGGTGATGCCAGGCTAGGGAGTATGGAAACTTCAGCGGCATTGAGTCGTGCGATCTTGGCGGTTATGAACTCAAAGGTCGATATTGTCAACATGAGCTACGGTGAATATGCGTCACAACACAATTATGGACGCATTGTAGAGCTCAGCAACGAGCTGGTTGACGAGCACAATGTAACTTTTGTTGTCAGTGCGGGTAATAATGGACCTGCCTTGGGTACAGTGGGTGCTCCGGGTGGAACAACTTCGAGTATGCTGGCAGTCGGTGCCTATGTGTCCCCGAAAATGATGGATGCTGAATATATTATGCGCGATAGCGGGCTACCTGGTATTGCCTACACGTGGTCATCGCGTGGACCGACATTCGACGGTGACCTGGGTGTGAACATATGCGCGCCTGGTGCTGCCATTGCCCCGGTGCCGAACTGGACGCTGAACAAAAAACAACTCATGAACGGCACGTCGATGTCATCGCCAAATTGTGCTGGAAATATCGCGTTGCTAATCAGTGGTCTGAAGGCTCAGGGTGTTGAGTATACGCCGTACTCGATCCGTCGCGCATTGGAGAACACTGCTGTGAAAGTACCCAATGTAGAAGTATACGCGCAGGGCAAAGGTCTCATCCAAGTGGTTCCAGCGTTTGAATACTTGGCAAGTAGCAACGCCTTTGACGGCACGAAAAAATTTCCCCTTCACTACGAAGTCAAAACCTCCTCGGGCGATGGAGATGCTCGTGGCATCTTCCTTCGTGACAGCGCTGACTTTGCTCATGACAGCTCTGAAGTCAATGTCACTGTGACGCCTGTTTTTCACAAAAAGGCGGCTCATGTTGACAAGGTTCACTTCGAGCAGCATGTGCGTCTTGTCCCATCTGCACGTTGGATTGACGTGGGACGAAGCCTTGCCTTGATGCACGGCGGGCGCGCATTCAAGGTGCTTTTGAAGACGAAACATTTGACGTCTGGTGAGCACTACGGCGAAATCGTTGCTTATGACACAAAGAATGAAGCTCGAGGTGCTCTGTTCACCATTCCTGTCACTGTGGTCAAGCCTGAGCATATTGCATCGACGATTAGCTATCAGACCAAGTTTCGGCCTGGCAATATCTCTCGGCGCTTCATCACGCCTCCTGTGGGAGCTACATGGGCAGACATTATCTTCTCGCGAGTTGGCGGGAACGGCGAGCATGAAGTAGATTCCATCTCTTCAGGAAAGCTATACATGTTCGATGCGGTGCAGTTCCAGCCGTTTGTGCGCCAGAGTCTGTCATCATTTCACAAGACCTTCAACTTAAAACCTGGACAAGAGCTCGCCTTCAGTATGGACCTACTGGGAGGGTTAACGACTGAGTTTTGCTTAGGTCAGTTTTGGAGTGCCTTAGGAGACTCAATCGTGCAAATTGAGATTCGCTTTCACGGCATTAGACCCGACCAGGAGAATATTGTTGTCTTGGGTGGCGAAGAATCACACAAGGTTTTGGTCTCGAGCTTTGTGGAAACCGAGACGTTAGTCCCTAAAATTAGCTTCACGAAGTATGTGCAGCACATCCGTCCAAAGACGGCTGAAATTTCTCCATTGAGCTCAAGTCGTGACCAGTTCCCGGACCAGCGTCAGGTGTATGAATTAGTCTTGACGTATCCGTTCACAAAGAAAGAGGAGGGCAAGGTGGTTCCGCGTTTGCCTCTCCTAAATGGTCGTCTGTACGAGTCGCCCTTTGAAGCGCAGCTAATGATGATATTTGACGACAAGAAGCAGTACATGGGTAGCTCGGATGCGTATGGTGATGAAACAGCTTTAAAGAAGGGCTCGTATATTGTTCGTGCCCAAGTGCGGCACGAGGATGTAAGCAAGCTCGAAAAGCTGAAGCAGATGATGCTAGTCTTAAACCACGAGATCAAAGAGATTCCTGCATCCGTGTTCGGACACCAGGATGATGTCGCGGTAGGCAACAAACCACTTGAGAAAAAGAGCCTGCCTACTAGAAAGTACGTGTCTCTTTTCGCTGCAGAGCCTGCATATGACAAGCTTCCTGTCGGGAGTGCTGTTGGAGACATTCTGACGGGCAAGATTCACTTCGGTCAAAAGGACAGCGCCATTAAGGGGTACGTTGCTTACTCTTTCAGTCCTCATACATTGATACCTTAGCAACTGTTCTTTTGTTTTCTTGCGCATGCACTTTACAGGAGCGGTAGACGCCCCGGCGGTTTTGACATTACATATATCATTCCTCCAGCACCTACCCCAGTCACGGAGCCGAAGCCGGAAGCGCCGAAGGATGAGGACAATGAAGAGCAAATTGCCAAAGAAGCTGTTCGTGACTTGCTGCTTGAGCGAACGAGAAAGCTGGCTGGTAAACCTGCTTTCCTGGCTGCGTGGCAGCGCCTCGTGGACGAATTTCCGAACCACCTGCCAGCACTACAGGCGAAGCTGCACCACTTCGACAATGAGGCCAACCGGTCTTCTCAGCTGGCAGAGGTGATCGAAAGTGCTGACGCTGTGCTCGCTTTCATTAAGCAGGATGAGCTGGCGCTGTTCTTTGGCACTCGCAACGTCCCTAGCGACCTACCTACAGACGAAGAGAAGGTGCGCAAGGAGAAGGAGAACGAAAAGGCGATCCTTGTCGACGCTCTTGCACGCAAGGCTCGAGCTCTCGACGACACAGCTCAATGGGAAGACTTTCTGGTTGCGTATGCAAATCTGCAAAAGTGGGAAGACGTCGAAGCGCCGACGTACCTGCACGTGGCGTTGCTACATGATCGACACTTTGATGCGTTTGGCCTTGCACTGCAGCGTCTGCGCATAGTACAAAGTATGGAACTGGCCGACAGGAGTAAGATCATTTCAGACGAGAAGCTTGCCTCTGAAATTGTCAGCACCCTCGATGCACTGCAGTGGACGCACTGGACCAAGCACGAAACCCAATGGGAGCGTCGTCGCTCGCCATCTTTCTACCGGATTTTCTAGTCGTGAAGACAGACACCACACAAGTAAGTTCTGCTGTTATTACAGTAGTTGGAAGTGGAAGGCAGTACAGTAAACCAGTTAACAGCGCAACGGGTGTGTCGATTAACTCGATTAACTGGCCTGTAAGTAAACACTGAGTTGAAACCTGCCACCAAATACGATACCTGCATTGCTTGATTGAAAAGTTTCTCGTTCCCATTCGTCAAGCATCGCGTAATACAAAACGCTTGCTGTTTGAGCCTCTTGAGCTCGGCTCATCTTACAAAGTCACCGTCACTCGATTCGCGATATTCGTGGTATTGTTTTCATTGTTCATCATCTGCTTGTGGGTGTTATTAACGTTTGTATCAAGAACAAGTACTGTCCATGGGCCTAAATACAATCAAGTGCATCTTTACCTGATCACTCCTCTTGTGTATTTCAGGGCTCATGACTGCATGTATACCTCCTACCTGTCCACTTGTGTGTTTGATATGAATGAAGCATTGGTGTCATCACGTCAAGTGAGTGCAGTCGCAACCTGTTTAAAATAGAACTGAGTGAGTCTTGATGATATGTGTGTATGTTGCACGGTGAAGTGGCCCAACTGGCAGAGACCATACCGCTTGTGTCTGACCTTTAGTCTGTGGGACCGTTAGATATTGACTGTAGACAACTTTTTCAGAAACGCCTCCGTAAATCACTTGGTCTCGATCAAAGAGAGAAACTATGATAAGAAACACGCTCAATGGCGACAGCTTCAAGCTTACAACGTGTGTCATTTTCCAAAACCAAGGGCAAGATATCTCCCCGATGGAAATGATAAGATATCTAATCAAGGGTTGCTACACCATTACCATCTCTACTTATTTGTTTAATGCCCAAGTCAATTGGGGCAAGGACCTTAGCTAATTCCAAGTTGTTGGGTAGTGGAAGAAAGCCTATTCTTTCCACTTAAGGATACGTTTTGGTTGGATTCGTGCAGATACAAATCTTGTGTTCAGGACTAACGAATCAGCAGAAGAACGAATGAATCGGAGGAAGAGACGACTGGCTTGATAATGAATGTCGTTTGTTAGCTACTTCTGGCTTGTTTTGTCCAGCTGCACATGTAGATTCGGTGTAAAGGCTATCAATGCCGATATAAAATGAGCTGCACAACCGTCTATTGGCTTGACAGGCTCATGTTATCTTGTGAGACATGCACTGCGAAGATCTACTCGATGGAATCTGTTCGATGAAAGATTCTGCGACTGTCACATGAACAAGTATCGAACATACCAGTGTCTTTTACATGAGTTGGACGTGTATCCTTTACTTTCTTGAATTCTTTACCTCTTTCCCACTCTTTGCGGTCTCATTCCTTCTTCCTTATCAGGATATTGAAATTTACATCACGGTTCTTGTACACGTTGCGTGAGGTGCTGAAAAGCAGACTGCAATGTCGGACCCCGATGGGGCAATGGTCAATTCGTTTGGTGGTACGAATAAAGATCACATGTATACAAACAAACTAATTAGAAGACAAAGCAGCTACTCAACGACACTTTATTTACGAGTGAGACACACATGTTCGTCTAATGATGCATTGGATTTTTCGTATTAAAGTTATCGTGCAATGATACTTGGCAGTACGAAAAAGGTCAATGAATCTAGACAGCATACTCATGACGATCTCTACGCGAATTGCACTGCGCAAGAGTTGGTGTAATGGAAGACAAGCTATTAAACGGTGCAATCGCCATCGGAGCAATAACGGCAGCAGACAGCGAGAGGGAGTTCTATTCCAGCTGTATGTATATCGAAAGAAAGGACTGCAGACAGAAGGATTGAATCCTACTGGAGAAAAAGAGTCTTGTTGAATACAACCATCAAGTATAATCTAAAAAAAGATTTCCATAGTGGTCGATTTTACTAAAGTTACAGTTTACGACTCATAAGAACCTGATCTGGGAGATATTGTGCACACGATCGCACGCATCTCAAATAGATTCATTCTTCCCATTCTAGATAGTATACAGGAATCAAGCGACATGTGACAAAGTCGATTTGTTAATGTACGATGCTCGAGTCAGAATGTTGAATGGCCTATGCACTAGGCTACACATTATCCGGAGCCTCACCAGCCAACAAAAAGGCGTTTACGCTCCAATCACTCTGTGATGACTGGCGCCATCACGCCGGATGTCGCCAGCGCCGTAATCTGTTAAGTACTTCCTCTTAACAAGGAGCACACACTGGCGTACTGTGAGTCGAGTATCATTTCTCAATTTGCAATCCTTCTCCAACTTCGCTCAAGACAACGACATCTCTCGGACTCAAACCATGCAGTTTGTTCCATTTCATCTCGTGACCGTGATCCTACTGCTTGTGATCAATGAAAGCTCCGCTACTGCCAAGTCCCAAGCAGTTCCCGAAATTTCATTCATGACGAATCTCAACCAACAAAACGCTCCAACATCGACGAAGGACGTCCTCCAAACGAACCAAGATCGAAATGCGGCTATTGGTGGTGCCGTCGTCAATTACCCCCCAGCCCCAAAGAAAGACCCAATTGTCTCAACGACCGAAGATCGAAATGCGCTGATTGGTGGTGCGGCTGTGTCCGTCAACCTTTCATTGCAGAAGAAAACTCCAACCGTCTTAGACGTCGAAGAGCGATACGCACCAATTGGTGGTGCAGCTGTACCGTATAACCCCCTAGTGCAAACAGGAGGTGAAATGGTTGTCAATTCTGAATACGAGGGAAAGGGCTTATTTCAGAGAATAGCACAACTTTTCGATGTTGGAGGCGAGGAGAAACCGACCCGTCGTCTTCGAGAGCAGTAAATGTATCCAAAGTGTTGTCATATGACTCATGCCATATTTATCTGCACTTAAATCTTACTCAAAAGCAAAAACCCAAAGTACAGAAATATGAAGATTCATTTTGTTTACCCATATTTTCCGCATTTTAGATACTTTCGATCAAGTAAAACATACCATTTTTCCCTTTTTTATCCCACCAATCGTGTTGTTACATTGTAGTCTTTTTGACCAATCGTCATCTTGTCTAAAACCTCCTTCTCATGACGGTCCTTACGCCTGCTACCCACGTCCCGACATGGGACGTGAAGCAACTAAAACAAATGGCAGCAGGAGGTAGTGCTGGAATTGTAGCAAAGACAGTTGTGGCACCATTTGAGCGTGTGAAAATCGTGTGTCAAACGGGTGAGAGCGTTGGAATGTGGCAGACGACGTTTCGAATCTGGATAAGTGAAGGGTTTGTAGGCTTTTGGCGTGGAAATCTAGCCGCCTGTGTACGCGTTGTACCCCATAAGGCCATCTTATTTGCATTTTCGGATTTTTACAAGGAGATTTTTCGATCTTTTGACATTTCTGGTGGAAAGGAATTGCCCCTTTGGGGATCATTTCTCGCAGGTTCTCTCTCAGGGTTTACAGCATCGATGATTACGTATCCGTTAGATCTCATTCGTACACGGGTATCGGGACAAATTGGAGATCAATTAATGTATACTGGTATTATTCATACATTTATGAAAACATTAAAGGAAGAAGGTCCACGTGCTTTATTTCGAGGAATTGGTCCGACGTTATTTGGAGCTTTTCCCTATGAAGGAATCAAGTTTGGATCATATGATGTCCTTACGGGTTTACTACTGAATGATACGGACTTGAAGACGAATTTTACAGGTAAAATTCTGTGTGGAGGAGGTGCAGGAGTAGTAGCTACGATCTTTACGTATCCAAATGATACGGTGAGACGACGAATGCAGATGCAAGGGGCAGGAGGGACGACTCGACAATATCGAAATGCATGGGACTGTTACGTCAAGTTGATGAAGAATGAAGGCTGGACGGTCTACTACCGAGGACTCACACCTACGCTTGTGAGAGCTATGCCCAACATGGGGGTACAATTTGCAACGTATGACTTTTTGAAGAGCTTCATTGAGTAAAAAAGGCGGTGCATTGATCTGTGCTTGTATATTGTAGACAAATAAAACATGTGCATGAACTACGTTGTCTGTCACCATTTGGGATCGTCACCTGCGTGCTTGTTCGTTACTCGTAAAGGTTAGTCAGCTCTGTACTTGTCAGATACCAATTCGTCGCTGTTGTCTGAAGAATTTCGAAACGAGTGATTGCTCAGATGATCGTTAGGGTGAACCAACGATTCCAATGCTTACGCAATGACATCACTGCTTTCTTGTTTGTAAAGCTTTTGGTGACGCGGTATAAGTGCTGAGCCTCCCCGTCAATATTGCGTCTCACATGTCTACGCGTGATACTTTCGACAACGACTCGTCTGGTGCACCAACACCACCATAACTACCCTCCACACGATCACAAACGCCATCTCCTCCGTACTCATTCTCCTCGTCGTACATAACAATAAGCTGTTTCATTTTTTCAACCAATTCATGGTCTGTGTTTCCAAATTTGGGGTCGTATAGCTTTTCCATCGTCTTTTTGCCCACCCATACTCGGCTCGGATCAAACTTCTTCATATTCTCAATTCTTGACGCGGGTGGTGATTTACCAGTGGCTTGTGCCTCCAAACGCGCAAAATCAGCATCCGATCGTTTTAGGTCATGAGGCACGTCAAGTAACGTGGGCGGTGGGTTGCTTTCCAGTAGAAATTATCCACAACCTCCACTTGCAGGTCAGAGCATAGGAGACAGAGCTCTACACAACCATCTACCAGATCCGGGAAGAAGTCTTGCACTTGATGTACTATCGGGGCCAGCAATGTGTCGTTGACCTGAGAGCTTGCAAGCATAGCGTCTTCGGCCACATCAC